ACAAAAGGCTCGAAGGTAGGGCAGGAGGACGGGGGGAGCTTTGTCGAGTATAGTACTTAGGTGGCAATCTACAGCTTCTGCAGTACCCCCAAAGAAGGTTTGGCCTATAGAACTACGTTCAAGGGCTTCAGCCGTTGCTAAGACGAAGTGCTGTTGTATATTCGGGAGGGGGGGAATCGGGCGTACTCCTCCCCTACCCGGACCTCTTTTCAGAGGCGACGGTAAGGCCAGAGGCCTCCTTAGAGGGGTTTCCATGGAGGGTAATCGGCTTGTTTAGTACAAGCAAGTGAGAGCAAGTGATTTAGAACAAAAAATTTGATCTCGAAAAAAGGGTTGTGTGACCGGTAGCTTATATAGTATGGGTAGAACGACTAGATAGATATAAGAGAAGATAAAAGAAAGACTAGAAAGGGTAAAGAGTAATTGCTTTAGGAAAAGTAGAATTATGTAGAAAAAGGGAAGGTAAATGGTAATTGATCCATGTCGAGCGAAGGATAGAGCCGGAAAACCCCCCTCTATTGCATAAAGTACTTGAAAACAAAAAGCAAAATGATAGGAATTTTTCTTCTCGGGATACTGTAAAACACTACGCATAATTTGAGTAGCGATTATGGAGATGCTGGAGGGCAGTATTTCAATTCAAACTAAATGTCATTCACCATCACTCTCCAGAAGGCACCACGGGAACAAAAAAGAAGTTTTGGAGAAATAATCTCCCTAGGAGAAAATCACCTCTATTTGGTATCTCAGCACACACCCTTGAGGTAGAAAGAAGATGAAGATGGCTATTAACCTGGAAATCGCCATATAAATTCTCAACCTCGACATCTCCATCAGTAGGTATAGTTCCCTAGGAACATCCAGCACTCAATCCTTGTTGCTTATCAGATATAAGCTTCGTAAGAGCATGGTTGTCTCTCCGGCTAGCCTCTTTCAAGGCACTCGGTCTAGTTCTTTCATTCCAAACCATAGGCTCGAGCGAAGCACCCGCGTCTAGCAACAACTTCACAGTTTGCGTATCCCCAGCAATCACCGCATACTGCAGACACGAGAGTGGAAAGTCAAGTGACTTGTTGACGTTGGCACCGTGGTCCAGGAGAATCCGAAGGGAATCAGGAGCACCCCGTCCAGAGCTCATGGTAAGGGCAACATCAATGGTTTCTTGATATTCTTGTACTGTCGAAGTTGTCTTGTGATGCTCCAGAAGTAGTTGGAGGGTAGTGGGTTGATTGCCTTTCGCTGCATAGAAAATACCCATCAGCTCCTCCTGCTGCATTTCTGGGCAGTAATGTTGGAGATAAAGTCGTATGATGTTTTCGTGGCCCATGTATGCAGCTACAGCCAGAGGGCTCTTGGAAAGTTCAAACCGGGGACCTTGAACAAAGTCGGGATTGTAGGGCAAAGCGCCTTGGTTTAAGAAGAGCTGCAAGAGATCCGCATGGCCCTGGGCAGCGGCTGCCCATGATGGCCTTCCAAAGAAGGACATTGAATCCTGATCCATTCCCTTAGTCAATGACTCTACCAGAGTCCCATCACCAATCCATGCAGCTATTGTCAGACAATTGACTAGTGAATTGTCACTACCCTCAAATGCCTTCTTGCTATCTGTGCACTCCTTGACCAATATGTCATACACATCACGTCCTGCGTTTACGGCAAGACATAAACAAGCATTACGGCGACACAACTCCACCCGCGCGACATCGTGCTCTGACTTAGTATGTTGAGCAAGCAACCGACATGTCTCACGAATTATCGCAATCCAAGGATGAGTAACGGAGCCATCAGTGCGAACTCGGTGGTCAAGGTAACGCGCAGTCACATCGTGGTGGTGCTCGATTCTCAACAGCCTGTGAGACTTTGATGCGACCTCCTCAATAAGTCTTGTCTCAACGACCGCCTCAAGAATTTCTTTGGCGAAAACGCCTAAGACGCATAGAGATTAGCGGACGTGGATTATGGGAGGGTGGATGCCGTAGAGTACATACGACAAGTAAGACGCGCTTTCATCGACTGGTTCAATCCTAGCTCCGTAACCGTCAAGGAAATGATAATTTTGAGGAGTTCTAAAGGGAGTTCTAGGAACAGCATGATCCCGCAGCTTGATATCTTTTTTTGAATATGGTTGGAGGGGGATGAGGGCACTTGTGCAGGTACAAGTGGTGGGGTAGGTGAGATATACTCGTAGGGCTAGGGGCTGAGTCGGGCTGTGGAGCCGGGAGTAAGCGAAGCCCCCTCGGCCCCCATTTTCTGTGCCACACACCTGCAGTTCTCTATTTACCAAGCGTAGTGCTTAGTAAATTGATTATGAAGGATTGGGGATCTATTTGAAGTCGTTGACGGAATAGTAAAACCCGAAGTATTCAACTGTTTTTAGTGAATGGAATGGCACGAGATAGACCCCACCCTTGTTCCTGTACTATAAGTGAATAGGGGTCCTCGTACTCGTACATGTAGTTAACCATTTTCTCACGTAACAAGATCTCTCCTTCTCTTCTTCTTCATAATCCAATTAACACTTTACCAACAGCAAATAGACTAAATTTAAAAGCTCAAACTAAAAGGTTGTAATAATAAATACTTTTATGATATACAGTTTTTACAATCTAGAATTCAGGGGGATTTCGAGGTATGAGAAAAAAGACTTTACACGTGACTCTAATATACCGATTAAAACTGAGTTCTTTTTTCATTCTACCAATAAGTAGATTTGAACTTTCTATATCCGGTCTAATAAAGTAAACATAGTATATCATCGAACCAAATATCATATCAGGGAGTATCTACAAGGAGAAATTAAAGGAACCGTACATACAACATTAATTATACGGCTATAATTCGTACATGTTATATTACGACCATCCCAACAATTTTCATATTTCGCCTCTTAATCTGGGAAGCGCGCGAGAGGCGGCAAACGAATGGCGTACGGGCAAGATGGTAGAATATAGTTACAAGTGGAGCTCGATTGAGGCGAGGTAGATGAAGGAATGGATTATTTTAGGATCAACTCCTCCGGCCACCTTGGCGCTGTGATTTTTACGAATCGATTCCACTTCCGTAGGATTTCATAGAATCCCAGCGGCTATACTGAACTGAAATGATTCTTACTTCCCACCTTACTCGAGTATGGTTTATGATTTATGATTGACATGGAAAGAATAAAAATAAACGTGGAGTTCTTGGGTAGTTGTCATGCGTGTTGTGTAGCTGGTATGGATGGATATAAGTACCTGAAGAGGATGAGAGCGAGAAGATTTTTTAATTCATCGGTTCACGTCTTCTTATATTTCCTATAGTTCTCTGTTTGGTACTCTGTTTCTTTCTAGAAGTGGCACATTCATTCATTGCTGTACTTACTTCATTATTTGCTACACCCACTTCCCTCGTTGCAATGCGTTTTAGCAGTACCAGTATCCTGCTCGGTTTAGCTGCCCTTGGTAGTATACCAGAGACATCTGGTAGAGCCGTTCCTAACTCTGAAATCGAGTGTAAGTATACATCCACTCCTTAACAGTCTAAGAAGCAAAGATTGACCTTGAGTGACAGTATACAACTGGAACCATGTCCGCGCAGCACCAGTTAGAATCACACCTTCCAAAGGAGTCCCTCCTACTATCAAACCCGGCAGTGAGACTCCCTCACATACTGGAGAAAAGCCCGATAGCGAAAATACCCCCAGAATCGGCACAGGTGATAAAACACCCGACACCACACCCAACGAACCAACCGTCCATATCGGAGACAGCAACCTCAACAACAGCCCAGATATATGGTGTCGAGGAACCGGCTGCGGCGGAGAATCTACACCCACCCTACTCACCACCTCCCAACTAACCACCCGCGGAGACAAGGGGCTGAAGCTAGCCGCCAGTCCGCAGCAAAACAAAGGGTACACGCAGCAAGAAAAAGACCACTACGACATCGAAGAAGAAGACTTTCTCGGGGTCGAGCAATCCATTCCGGAACTTGGGTTTGATCAAAAATACGGCTTCCAGGACGAGGAAGGCTGGAGTCGGATGTTTGCGCGGTCTAAGGGGAATCCCGGGAAGAATGTGGTGGAGATGAGTATTGGGAGAGCGAAGGATGGGGTGGGGAAGGAGTATGTGGCGATCGTTGCGCACGCCCGGTTCGCGAGGTACGATGCCAATCGGTATAAGCTTGATGATAAGGGGGAAGCTGTGAAAGATGGGAATGGGAAGTTGGTTGCTGCTGATGGCTTTGATGCTAAGGCGGTTCCGGCATCGCAACTCCTCCATGATGCTGCGAAGGTGCGTTCCAAAACTTTCTGTTACAGGACAATTGTGATACTAAGATAACTTTGATTAATAGCAATCTGGAAAACTCGATGGGAAAAAGCCGGAGAAATTCTTCTTGATCTCGGAGCTGATCACGAACGACGAAGCTAAGCGAGATATCAAGGCGGCGAGCGCAGCGATGGGGAAATCGGGCCAGGCAAATGTCTTGAAGAAGGGTGCAAAGGGTGTGGAGGGTGACTGGTTCAAGATCCTGGCTGGGAACGATAACAACTATTCTTACCTGAATACTGTTGGTCGGAACGCAGATACGTTTGGTGGGTATGAAGTTGTTAGCATTCAGACTTTGGATAACCCTCTTACGATGGCTATGGAACTTTCTAAGGTCTAGCTTATATGGTGTGATAGGTGGTAGATAGGAAGATTGTTAGTTTACTTGATAAGATCCTTCCTCTTGTTGAGGTATCAATTAGATAAATCACAAAGAGGGAAGAGTTTCTAGTAGTATACGTTTTTGTATATAGGTGGTACAGATCTTAAATGGATTCTCATAAATATCGCGTACTTTAAAACCTGGAATAAAACATAGATGGTCTTGTGAACCTTCTTCTACCTAGGTCGGTAGGATCCTCATCAACCACTCATACAACGAACCTCCCAAACACAACACTTTGAAAACTAGTAGTGTCGCTCCTCCCAGTCCCCTCACTCTCTCCACCACCCTTACATCTCCCTACCTACCTACTAAAAACCCATCAAGCAAAGCCCAGTCAACTCCTCTCATACTCCTCAACCTCCGCCAGAGACCCAAAAGGACCCGCCCACGCCCTTTCCACGCCCCTAGAATTCCCTTAACAACTCAACTGATAAAACCTACCCAAGCCTTCCCGCAATAGCTCATGCGTCACCAGATGCACGCGAAGGGGGCAAATGTACCCGTGGTCGGTTCTCTGGTATTTATATCCGCCTGGACAACTGCTGCCGTTCCGCTCTAATTGGCTCCGCGCCCAGACGTCTTGCTCTCTCTGTTGGTCGGGCGGGAGAGAATCGATGTGTGTTTGCCGAGCGGCCATGTCGATGTCGTGTTGGCAGGTGAAGGTGCTACTTGATGACGACGTGGTGAGGAGGTGTGGTTGTTGGTGATGCGCGATGGGAGCCCGGAGTGGTTATTGCAGGAGGGCTGCCTGGGTCGTGATGGGGAACGGTGACAGTTGTCGACTCGAGATGCTAGCTGAGAGTATTGGTTGTTCCGTGTCGGGTCTCTTGCTCTAGACGAGGAGGGATGGGTGTTATCGATGCGGGAAGGTAGATGTGATGCCTGATTATTACGCCATGACGAAGAGGGGTTCTCATTAGCGAGAATTCTGGCTGCGGGACCTGGCATGTCTATGTCCCATGGTAGTCTAGAAACGTTAGGTTGAGAGAGGCTACCTGAAGATGAGCGAGCCTGGTTGTCTAAACCTGAAGGCATAATAGAAGTATCCTGCCGCGATAGACCACGATTGTGTCCTCGAAGCCAATCCATGTCGTCCAAGATGTTCCTGTTCAGGCTGAATGGTTGACCAGCAGATGGGAGACTCTCGGACTTGAAATTATGTTGCAAATTGTAGAGTGACCTGCTTGGTTTTCTTAAAGTAATAAAGAGCTTGAAATATTTTGTAAGAGGACTAGTTTCTATACTAGTCACAAGCCCATGAGCCATGAAACCAATCAGCGAGAATTCCACAAGTGATTCGAAGCGAATGCGTTCGTATTTCAGTCTGTGAATCAAGGTTTCGCGGTTAGAGAATATGTCCTCGCTTAGTATGGTTCTATTAGGGGCAATTAGAATTCTAGCCAGCTACTGTACCTACCCGCTGCCAGCTTACAGTACCAAGGAGGAGATACTACGTCAAAGACTACCTAGTTTATTCATTTATCGTAACAATAACAAAAAATAAATCACTACCTGTGTACCCGGGGCATCCGCCCACCCTGGTTAACCGCCGCCCACCCCCACTTAGCCACTATAATTCATTATAACAACCACCTTCAAAAGTGTTATTCAGTAGCCCAAATTGTAGCTTATTTACTCCTCTACACTTTCTGTTAGTTACTTTTTTTTTTTTTAGTTAGTACTTCGGCCTATTAAGCTTTAATTTCTACCTTTTAATAGAAGTAATCTAGAATATTTAAATTTTCTAGGAGTAAAAGAAAATACTACTACTCTAAGCTATACTTTCATCTTATTTGAAAGAATTTAAACTATATGGTTGCTTTTCTATCGATTAACTATTATTGTTTTTTGGGCGGTTTACTTGGGTGGGCGGATGCCCCGTGCGCACACAGGTACCTACCTACCTTAGGTAGAATTTAAAGAATTTCAAAAGAAGAAGAGAAAAAAGAAAGGAAAAAAGAAATTAGATTAAGAACCAAATATGTATACAGTAGCACTACAATACAAAAAGTCCCTTTGACACGACTTTGTATATAGATTGATTTAGATATACAAGTAGGCCCATTTTTAATCTTGTGACATTTTCCCTGTATTGTATTGTATAGTATTGTATAGTACATATTTTACACCAACAAAAGATAACTTACTTGACTCGGTAAGATTCCATACCTATCTACATACCAACGCCTTTCTGTTCCCCCTCCCCCCTCATAACACTCATAAGATGGATTTCTTTAAAATTTTCAACTGACACAGAGTTCAGCTCTATAATCACGAAGGTCTGCCTAATCTCCACCCCGCAATCTTCTCCTGCGCGTCGGACCACTGTAGCGCTTTCCGCGTGATGCCCTCCTCATCACCTTCTTGTAAGACGAGGGTAGGAGAACCGCTTCCTTTCCCGCGGTTCTGTACCATTCCTCCGAATACCATCTTCGCAACTCTTCGGAGGTCCTTGACAGTGAGATTTTCAATCTTCCTACACATCTCGCGGACCCCTATTTTGCGTCCATGGACTTGGACTTGTCGACCGAGATCCTCGAGTTCGACCATGCGACTTTCGAGGTTCATGAGGAGACTAGATCGGAGCTGGTTCTTGGCTCGGTTCACTTCGGCGGGTTGGAGGGAGGAGTAGCCCGTTTCCAAAGTTAGGGCTTGGAGTTCTCGACACATGACGTCGAGCATACTGTGCACTTTGCTGGGCGAACAGCTGGCTGAGATTCCGAAGATTCCGGAATCCGTGTAGCCGTGGTTGAAGGCCACGCAAGATTCTACCCATCCATGTTGGTTTAGGACGTTGGTATATAGACGTGAATACATTCCCTTCCCAGGACCACCAGCCGAGAAGGAACCGCCTCCACCAAGGAGAGTCTGGAGTGTGGCAAGAGCATAGATATCTTCCGATTCTATGGGAAGCGCCTCAAAGGCGAGGTGGAGGTGAGATAATGGGGGGAGAGTGGCTTGAATGGGAGGTGGTAAATTGGGGAGAGTCAAGAATCCACCGGTATAATGAGAATGTTGCTTGAGCTCGAGCGCAGATGGTGGGATGTTGAGATGCGAGTGTACTTCGGCATTTTTAGCTGCGGAAGTGGAGAGATTTTTGAAAAAAGGAATTCGTGAAAGTAATTTTGATGGGTTTTGTATCGGAGCTGGATGTTTCGTCGATGAGGAGCCTAATGTTGTGTCTGAACCAGTCTGCGCAAGTGATGGGGCGTTGGATTTCGCCATATCCCCAAAGTATTGCTCCGTTAATCTGACAGCCTCGTCATGCTGAACCCCAGCAAAAGCCACAACCATGCGCTCTGGTTTGTAAAATGTAGACCGGTATGTTTCAATGACACGTTTGTTGATCATTCCGAGCCTCTCCTTTGGACACAGCAATGGATTTCCGAGAGTGTTGTCCTTGTATGCTGCCAGATGGACCAATTCGGGCAATATCAACTCTGGCTTTGACCATATTTCCCCAATTTCATATGCGGCCGTCTCCAATTGCTGCTCCACCTCTAATTCTGTGATTAAGGGATCGCGTATAGCTTCTGCAAGTAAAGCGACCGTTGTAGGCACTGCCGAGTTAAAAGTTGCGGATTGGTACATAAGGGCTTCTCTCGAAGAGGCGCATTGTATATTTCCACCCAAGGATTCCAGCGCCTCCAACATTTCATCACTTGTTCGTTTCGTCGTCGATTTAAAGGCCAGTCTGTCCATTATATGGCTCACGCCTCGAAGATGTTCGTTTTCATATCGAGAACCTGCATCCATATAAACTCCGATTCCAGAAAAATGACCTGGCAATGCCTCCGTCGCAACCCGAATTCCATTGGGAAGCGTGGTTACTTGGTCTAATTCTGCTGGGTCCTATAATTCGGTTAGATCCGCCCGAAAGCAGTTGCAACCAATTCTTCTGAGAGTTTCGGGGCGCATACTTTGGGGATGGGGTCCACGACGGTTGCAAAGTTTCTAGATCGGAAGGTGGGCAGAACACGGGGACTAAATGGACGAGACCAAGCTCGAGCGAGGACTCGAGATGGCGTAATCCTCAGCATGATTGAAGTTGGTAGGGGTTGAGGCTGTCGTCAGTTGCCTCTGCAAAAGATTAGAATATTTACTTGCAGATGGTCACGCACGGCAAGCGATGAGCCTTATCAAAAGCGGCGTGGGCACGAGGCCAGCTTGGCCAGGTGGAGTGGAGGTGGCAAGGCGCAAGGCTGTCAGATTCCGATTCTGAGGCCGATCCCGAGGCCGATTCCGATTACTGAATGCAGCACTTTCTTATCAGATCTATTGTACACGCTTGCTCGTACTTGAGTATCAGTTCCGTGATCACCTGCACTCACTCATGGAAGGTGAGACGGGGGCTCCCTGCTTTGGCTGAGGCGGTCGTACTCTGTTTAGTGCAGGTGGGCTGGTACAACAGGTACAGGTACGGACAGTACAGCCCTAGGCCTTTCACTTTCAGCCTTTGATCGCCGTCGCTGACTACAATACCAACGGTCCAACATCATCTCTCCTCACAATTTTATTGTTGTCTGGTTGTCTTCGATGCTAAAAACAAGCACCGGCACAGGGTCTCGCAGACTTGGTCACTTCCGGATTTTCTGGTGCAGCAGCAGTGTACAACTCGGCCTGCAGTAGTGAGGCCATTGGTGGGCCAGCAGCGCCAGGACGAGTAGTGAGCAGTTGTAGGGAACTGCAGCGGAGCGGGCGCCCAATTTTAGCGACCAAGACAGAGGCAGACTCAGCGGACTCCCACTCCACTGACTAACACCACTAGGGACTGACTCTCCGAGACCCCAACTTGCAACTTTCTACGCAAACGTCAAGACGAACGGAACCTCTACTGGTAGGCCGTCCACTAAACCAAAATTGTCGGATTTTTAGTCTCTGAATCACCTCATCACCTCATCTCCTTTTCTCTCTCTCCCTCTCTCTCACGCCGGCCTGCAATCGTTCCGACGGGTGTCCAACGCCATTCCTCGCCCTTCTCATTCTGAGGCACTTCTCTCGTCTCGCACTCGGTCCCCTCCCTCACGTCCACCCTCATCCTCGCCCTCACCAAGCTGGGAACTCCTCACTGATGGGTCGGTCACTTGCACCATGCTAAACACCCAGAAGCGCTGTTTCCGCCACCAGTACTAGACTCCGTATAAGTACTCGTCCGTATAGGTACTCGTCAGTATAGGTACTCATCCGTATAGGTACTCGTACCTAGAAGCACAACTTGTAAAACCCACGTCGAGAGTTCCAAGGTCCCTCCTTTCAAGGCCTTCTCTCCTAGAGGAACGCATTTCCTCTAGCTCTTCTAGAGGAACGCATTTCCTCTCTCTCTCCTGGATCACTACTCGTACATCCCTCGCAGTCCTCGTGCCGTAGCAGTAGAAATTCCGTAGAGGTATCGCTACCACCACCGCACCGCCGCCCACCAACAACCCCGAAAAAACAACGCCAAAGGCAAACGGTCGAGCCATAGGCTAGAGGCTAGAGAGTAGAGGCTCTAGGCCAGAACACCAGAACACCAGCACCATCAGACCTCAGCATGTACTCATCCGTGCCTAGTCCGCCGTGGCACCCCGGCCCTTCACAAATTCTTGAACGTCCTCCAGCTTCACCACCATTGCCTTCCCCCACTTCACCCACCCGTTCGAGTCGACTGCGAGGTTTGAGTTACTTGCGGACATACACGCAGAATCACATCCTCTCCCGCGACAGTCACCACCACCATTCGAACAGTCAGCAGCGCCTCGATTTATCACGAATTTCCAGCGAACCTTCCCCCACAACCTCTCCCAGGGCATCAGTAACTCCCTCTGTAGCGAGAACTCCACTTCAAACCCCCTCCAACCCTCGACAGACTTCACCCACCGCCCAGCGAATGACGGATACTTTGGTCGCTGATTCCCATACACAGGATAATCTAAATTCTACGAGTGGGTGGCTACCAACCGTGGGTGGGCAAAGTGGTGTCTCACGCACTGGATCCCAGCCTCAGTCGACTGCAACTGGTTCTTCCTCTGCGGTTTTGTCAGGAAACGATTCTTCTGCAGTAGCCTCCGAATTAACAGCATCCATGACTCGAACACGCACCGCAGCTACGGCTGTCAGCACCACCGATACATCTGTAGATGCGCCTAGGAATGAGGCTTCGGCACAGAATGGAACCCCAAATTCAAAGGGCATGTCTCATCAACTACCCTCCATACGCTTCACGGCCCATCATGATCCAAGAGCGATTCGACCATCACTTACCTTCAACCCAATGGCTCGCATATTACCTACAGGCTCAGAGACCATCAAAGTTGGACGATATTCGGAGCGAGATGCGGCTCCAACCCAGGCCCCAAACGTCCCATCGTCAGCCCCTGTTGGTTTCAGGTCCAAGGTAGTTAGCCGAAGACATTGTGAGTTCTGGTGTTCCGGTGGTCGTTGGTTTATCAAGGATGTAAAGAGTTCTTCAGGGACTTTTCTCAATCATATCCGTCTCAGTCCCCCTGGTACCGAATCGAAACCATATCCAGTCAATGATGGAGATATTGTGCAGCTGGGAATCGATTTCAAAGGAGGCGAGGAAATGATTTTCAGATGTGTCAAAATCAGGGTAGAACTGAATAAAGGTTGGCAGACTGCTCCAAGTAGTTTCAAGTAAGTTTGTAGGTCTCTCCCCGTTTGTCAAGCTAACCCTGTCATAGTGTACAATCTCACAAACGACTAAGAGAACTGAATAACTCTGGCAAATCTTCAGGAAGCGGCACCTCACAGGACTGCTCGATTTGTCTTGGTCCAATCGCTGTATGTCTACAAATAAGCTCACTTTTGTATTTTTCGTTCGCTGACCTTTCTCATAGCCCTGTCAATCGCTATTTGTTGCCCCTTGTTCACATACCTGGCATTATAAATGCATTCGAGTCATTATAAATGGACCACATTGGCCTCATTTCGTTTGTCCTAATTGTAGGAGTGTCGCTGACCTCGAGGCTGAACTTGATGACCCGGAGACGAGTGGTGAATGGGCCGCCGAAGTTGCCGATGGATCTGCAGATCAACCAGAAGTGGAACCAGCTCAGGATACTACGAAACCACGCAACGAAGCTCGCTCTACAGAAGCAACACACGCGGGTACGGATGAACGTGGGAGTGGAGGTGGATCACCGGACATTCGAAATCCCAACGGTCAGGACATTGTAGCTCAAGATGGTTCGGATCCCAGCCAATACGAGCTTGTTGTGGGACAACTAGAAGAGCTAAACATTGAGGGTCCGGAGTCTCCAGATACAGCAGAGCAAGTCTTACCAGCATCGAATGCTACGGTACCGCCAGTTGACATTGTCAGCAGGGGAAATCGAGTACCAGATGCACCACGTCCTTCCGTAGACGACTCCGAGCAAATCTCATCCAATGCCCGTACGACAACTCGCACCCCTAGTCCAGATGGAACATCATCCTCTCTTGATGTAATCTTGACTACTACGGAGGGTCCGATGACTCCAAGGAACGATGTAGGACCATTTATTTTTGACGGAAGTGGTGGTCGAATGGCTCCTATCGACAGTGTCAATCCCAACGAGACGGCAGATACACCTGCTCCTCGATTGGCACCTCAAACCGTACCATAGTCTTCTTTACATTCTCGGCATTGTCATCTTTAGCGCGGTGCGAAATTGGGTCTGATTGATTAATAAAACCGGCTGGACACCCAAAAGAAACCCTATTGCCAGCAAAATGTAAACTTAATTTAATAACCAGGATTGAGCTGCGGTTTTAGCATCGAATGGTGAAAGAGGGCATTTATTTTTTTGCTTTGCTTGGGCATAGAATGACGTTTTTTTTTGTTTTTTTTTTCATATTTGAATGAAAGGCGTTTAAGGGGGGGTTTTGGGGGTAAGGGTGTTGGCGAGATATCATTGTTGCTGGAGTTTGTTCTCTTTTTTTCTTTTCTTTTTTCTTTTTGCATCATATGGTGGGTGCTGGCTGGATGGATGGATGGCTGGCTGGCTGGGGTGGCATTACAGTAGGATGGATGAAGGATTTGCATACTATACAATACAATACAATACAATAATATTCATGGTTGGTGAAGATTGGGTTTTGGATGGAGTCTTTTTTTGTAGGGGGGGGGGGTTTTTTTTT